GGATGAATCAGGATGATGCAGGTTCTTCTGCCATGCATTTGCTGAGCTGCTATCTCACCAGGACCTTGTCAAGGCACCCAGTCTACTCTGCAGAGCCTCTACTCAGTGTAATGCCTCTCTTGCTGAGGCTTCCAAGATGTATTCCAAGAACTATAAAGAAAGCCTATGTTGAGTTTTGTTATGTTCAAAGCTTCGCTTATGGGAAAAAAAGCAGCATATCCTATATGTTTATCTATAAACAAAGGCAAGTGTTTATTGTTAGTATAATTCAACTCCACTCAGTTTAATTTGGGAATCATCATCAGCTTAGATCTAGATCTAGATTAGTCTACTATTACAGAAAATCTAATAGTAATAACACAAGAATGATACTTAAATACAGCAATAAAAAAGCAGTAATTAAAATTGTAACACACACACTTCTTCATTTCTATCCCTATTCCTGCTCTCACGCTCTCCCTTCCACTGCTCTTCTGGGTCCTAAGGGCAGTGGGCTCAAGCTGACATGTTTGTTTGCTAACATACTCATACACCTTTGTCTTTGTTGGTTGGTTTGCAAAGCCAGGTGACACCTGACTTTATGATATATAGTTCTCTTTGTTATCCCTAAAGCCAATCTTGTCCAGCCCAGGCATGCCTGCTTTTTTAGCTGACCACGATGGAGCTGTTTACAGCTGTGGGACCTCCAGTGCCAGCCTGTGCCCATCTCTTGTCTTCCTCTGCCTGTGCTCCTGTATGCTGCTCCCCTGCTTCTCAGTGCTCTCGGTGCTCTCAGATGCTGCACATCTCTGCTTCTCAGTGCCATCCTGGCAGCCCTGCTTCTCACAACGTCACCTTGCAAGTGTTACAAACCTGTTTCCCTATCTGGAACAAATGCTTGTTACTGCTATCTGCATAAAACAATTGTGGTTTTGTTTATAAAGGTAAACAAAAGTGAAACAAAAGAGAATGAGACACCCGGTCAATGAAAAAAATAAGTGAAACAGCTCTGTGGCCATGACAAGAAAAGCTGGGGCAGATCTGGCAATGGCGAAGCCACATGAAAGGGTTTGAAGTTACAAATCTGCCTGCTGGCGTTGCACTACCAAGCTCTTCTGTGGCTTCACGCTGCTGATAGGGATGGCTGCCCACTCGGCTGGGCCTGGCCGTGAGCTCCTGCCCACGCTTCTGCCCGCTATGTGAGAACCAGCCAGCCCTCTGCGTCCCTATATTTGATCTCTGGCGTGTGGGCAGCCTGAGTCTGCAAGCCCAGATCAGGTTGCACTTGTGCACCTGCTTCAGCTGCTCCTGTGCTTACCCTGCTAATTTGCACCGTGGCTGCAGCAAACCAGAAGCTGCTGGGATTTAATCGTGTCCATCCTTCACTCACCACCCCCTACTCTTATGCCTGTTGGACAAGCTTCCCACCCTACTGCATTACACGGTGGTATTGCACGGCTCTGTGCGGCCCAAACCACCCGCACTCCCTCGTGCAGTGGTGGGGAGGACAAGCCACGTCCTGACAGGGACCCGAGGCCCTGTGACTTCAGCTGGCATCGAGCACATTGCATGGCGCCGTGTGGCTGCTCACTGCCACCAGTGGGCACAGCAGTCGTGTGGTTGGCTTGACTGAAAGGCATGAACTAGGCCTGGATGTGCCCAGGTTTCAAACCTTTGCTGTGCAGAGTCTGGCAAAACGCTTACATTGCCTCGAGCACAGAGCCTTCCATGACCCTATCTTTTTCACAAGCCACATTTTCAGAGGAGGAGATAGGGAAAAGAGTAGAAAAGCACGCCACAAAGCGTTGGCGAGAGGCAGTCATACCCAGTGTCACAACAGCCGCCTGGAGCAACCTCCTCAGCACAGCATTCCCCAGGGTTAGGAGAATCATCCAAGGACTGGTGGATCGAGAGAGATCCCTCTCTGTCCCAGATGAGATCCCCAAGGCAGCAAGTGCTGATTGACACCTTTGTTACTGTTTGAGGGAAATTTCTGTGCAGTTGGAAGAGATTTCCGGATAAATGGCTACAGGGAGCCCTGCAGTGAGGAAGGATCTTGTCTTGCTTACGGGCTGACTGGCTTTGATCTATGGGAGAAATCAAGTAATAGTGCTTGCTTGCTGCTTGCCTGGATGGCAGCCAAACTAATGTGGTTTTATATACATAAACTGAGTGATTACATCTCCTACTATTGCCATAGGGATTTTTTTTTTTAATTATTTAATAAAACGTGTCTCAACGATTGCCTCACAAAGGTTGAAATGTTTTCATACATGCAAGTGTATGCGTATTAATCTAACAAAATGAGGCTGCTTTTATCATGGTCACAGAACTTGTAGCTGAGTGTGGTCAACTCAAATGCAGAGTAATTGTCAGAAGCAGCTGATGGCTTGTGCTGCACTGCTTCTCTGACTGCTGCTTCCATCCAGCTGTAGGGTGAAGACCTGCCAAATAAACTATATCTAGCCAGACTTTTTGCTTTAACTAAACTGCCTTGGATACCTGTGGGCAAGTTTCTTCATAATGAGACTTCTGTAATGGATGTGCTCTTTCAGAACTCGCAAGAGCAGAGCAGTTTCTCTGGCCCTGTGTCAAGAAACAGACCCAAAATCACGAAACCAGCAGCAGCGCTGCAGAAATTTCCGTACAGCCACCTGTTTAAACTTCATTCTCTTGGTGGGTTCATTTATGCTAACAATATCTTTTCATACAGAGTTTGTCTACTGTGTGAAGACTGTAGTATTGGGGAGATACTACAACCTGTGCTTTGCTGATAATAACCTGCACGAGCACAGTGTTGGTGTTAGACTGAGGAAAAGTTTTACCGAAGTTTAGTTGTGGTTTAGCTTTTCAGCTTGAGAAGGCTTTAGTGAATGGCATTTGCTAAAGATAAAAGTCACCAGAAGTCTCTACTGTGGGTCTGTTTTATGTGGAAGCTGTTCCAGGCAGTGCAGCAGCCAATGCTTTTTGGCAAGAGTTCCTTTGAGCATTCAGAGTTTTTAGAGCTAAATTGTGGAAGCTTCTGGTGATAAATCACAAGCCATTCACTTCTCTCTATGCTGTGGCAGATAAGCTGTGCTTGTGGGAGGGTGCTTGGCACATGTCACTCAAAGGCAGCAGCATCAGCGCTCTTCCAGATTCATCCTGATGGCTACAGACTAACAGCCACCAGTGCTGAAGGGAGAAGGCATGTTAGGCAATGGGTTTGGTCAGTGGATAGTGTGATCTGTGCTCAGACTCCTGAGTGATTGAGAACATTTCTCCTTTCACTTACAGCACACATGTTCAGAAGGCTTTTAAATGCTTTGCAGAGTAAGAGAATGCTCAGCCATGCTGATTGCCTCTCTTCCCCAATCAGGCATATCTAAGATGTCTGACCAAGCGGGTTGCCCAAGTAGTGAGAAAGTGAAACAGTGACCTGGCAGAGGCTCTAATTATCTGCTTAACCACATTAATGCTGAGAGGCAAATCACTTTCCCTAGGAGGTCAGTAAGCCTACAGAGGAGACTTCAACAAAGTGAGAAATAAAAATAACCTTTTCACAATATGGGCTGTTGCTGCTTTGACACTTTCAGCCAAAAAGCTCTAAGGAGATCATGAGTGAAATGACACAAAATAGAATCTGCAAATCCGTTCTGTAACATGGAAGTAATTAATTCTCACATTGAAAATCTGTGTCTTGCTATCTGAGAAGGAATACTGAATGGGCTGCTTCTTCCCATGGCAGACACTACAGAAACAGAGGGACTAACATCTAAACCACGTACTGAGGAGTGCGAGTGCAAGGTCACTGTCCTGTCAGGCCAGAAGTAAATGCTCTTCTGTATCCAAGTTGAGAGGCAAAAAAAAAAATAAGAGAAAGTTATTGTAAGTATATGGGAAACACTTTGACTGTTGGTTCAGAGGTGGAGGTTCATAAACACTCATGCAGAAATGGAGTGTGTGCAAGTTTCAGCACTGGCACTTTTGCCAGGGCTCTGAGAGGCAGCTGCTATGGATGCAAGGACATAGGATCCTTGTCTCATGAGCAGTCCTCCAGGTTTGGAGGTAGGCATCCAAAACTCTTCCGACTCTTTGGTCTGTTGTTTCCTGCTTCCCAGAAAATGAGAAACCAAGCATTTACAGGATGCACGTGTGGTCTCACATAGTGGTCAGGCAAACTCTTATCCTCACTTAATGAAAAAGAGGTGTCAGGGAAAAGAAGACCCTCGAATGCAGAAGAAACCAGAAGTCACACCCCAGAGTGAGTTTTGGCCTGTTTGCACACACTCATGCAGTTTATCAGTCTGTTTACATTTCCTTAGCAACCTTACATGGCTCCTTAAATATTTTCTTGTACACTTTGTGAATTTAGCATGGTGCTCTGTTTAAACATGACATACAGCTCCACATAGCAATTAAGGGCTTGCCCAATGAAGCCCAAAAACTAATCTGTGACAAAACACTCCAGGCAGAACAGCACAAGACACTGGAAGCTTAAGAAAATACCATGAGGTCTGCAAAAATGAGGACAATGTGTTGCAAGGTATTTTGCAACTTGACACTGTACATGGTTGTAGGCAATCACTTAAAGTTGCTGTAAAGAGCAGGGAATCAAACATGTCTGACATTAATTTCACTAGTCTCTCTTTGTTGAGATCAGCATTGCTTGTGTGGTAGCTTTATGACTGTGGAACTCTGCTGCCTTTAAGCTACTAAGAACAAAATATTTCTTGTCTCGTGTTGTTTATGGATACTCTCAGGCTCTGTCAGGAGGTGACAGGCTCAGTTCCCCATAAATTCTGAAAGACAGTGAAATCAGTGAGAGGTTTCAGCTATCCCGGGCTGCTCGTTTTTTTCAGAACATGGTGAAGCGGAGCTTTACCCAAGTAGGTGTTCATGAATGTTTCCCAGCACTCTCTTAATCCTTCAGGACAAGGCAATAATTTTTTTGAGGTTACCATTTCAAATGGTGAAAACAAGTGGATATTTGTATTCCACTCCATTTTAGACCGTTGAGAAAAGCTAGCTAATACTTTAGATGCGTTCCTTGTAAGATGATGTGTATCTATCAGGTATAACTAGCACCAGACACCAAGCTGGGATAGCCAGTCTCTGCCATTTCCTGACTGAGACATTGGAGTTTTGAGGCAATTTCATTGGTATTGTTCTCTCTGCAGAGAAAAAATGAACAATGTAGGCAATGATAGCTATCCTTCTCTGAAAACCCACCAGGTAGCTGTGTATTAGCTCCTCCATATCCATACTGCATCCTCTCTTTCTGCTTTATCTCCTGCTTAGCACCATAGTGTCTTTGTACGGTGTCTGTGCATTGTTCCCCAATAAGAATGCATGCCTTGCAGGCATAAAGAAAATCCATGTTTTTTTTTTCCCCCTTTTTCCTTTTTTTCTATGCAGCATTGAGCTAGATTAGCAAAGTGCAGATTTTTGGAGGATTTAAACAGTGTCTAGCTTTGGGCTAATAAAGAAAGCAAACTACCCTTTCCCAAAAGGGTTTGGCTGTTTTACTGAATCCTGGAGGAAACATCCAGCGCTCCTCCTGGGATAGCAGAGCCTCGAGTTCCAAGCAGCACAGCATGCATATGGGTGTTATGACCTGGGATAGAAGGCAGCATGGGATAAAAAAAAGAAAGAGCACTTCTCAACTTGTCAGACAAACCAAAGTGTGTACATAAGCAAATATGAGAATTGTGCAATTAAAGAGCATACACCATATAATCCCTTCAAAACAAGCATATCTGTCAACAGGCTTTTTCACATCAGGTATAAAACACACACATATACTCCTACTGCATAGTGCTGCTCAATTTAATATATGAGATTGTGACAGTTTTTTTAATAATCTATGGGAGGCTTCATGTACATGAGATAAATAGTTATGCATTGCAAAGACTGAATAGTGAATATTTTTTATCTTACGTGATGCAGCTTTACTCCTCCTCAATTTGCATACCTTTGCCAGGACTCAATAATTTAACTGATGGTTGTGGCATTTCTCTCAGTGTAAAATTTTAGAACAAGGATATCTTTTTATTCTTTATGTAGAACCGTCGTGCTGGAGACCCTGATAGTCCTCTTCCATAATAGTTTGAAGAAAGGTCACCAAGCACATGGCGGAGAAATGCAGGTCCAGCTTCACCTTCTTTCTTAAGCATGTAAGAACCCATCTGTAACTGAATAGTGTTTGGAATTTTTCTGGACAGATTAGTTCACATTGGCCAAAAAGAGACAACTGGAGTCTATCAGAATAAAGTAGGGAAGTTGTCACATTTCTGTTAAGGCCTGCACAGATTACCCTGTAGATCCAAGAGGAATGACTGAATTGCTGAAGCATACAGAGGAACAGAGGCTTCAGCATCTCTTATCCAAGAGAGAACCTAAAGCTTAAGTGCAGTGTGCCTATAGGTATGTGCTGTGCCATGACCCATAAGGAGGTGAGAGGGGAAATGAAGGGTAAAAAAAAAAAAAGGGAAAGAGAATTTAATCCAGAGTAAGTTTGAGCACAGCTAGGAAAAAAACCACTCTTTTTTCAAGGCAAGGAAAGGAGTAGCTGACATGAGCTCTATCCACAGCACTACTCAAGTTGTGGCACCAGGCCAGACAATTCCAAAGGCCTGGAGTGTAACTTAATTTCTGAGAAAAGATTCAGTAAAAGAGTGGAGAGAAGCATCTCCATGTATTTTCCCTTTCTCTAATGACATAGTTGCACAATATCCAGAAAAGCCACAATTAGCTATTTCTAAGAGTTAGCAGTTTAATCACGTTCTTCAAATATATTAACAACACAACTCTGTGCATGGTTGAATCATACTGTTTCCCAGCAGGTTCCTTGAATGAACAGACTTCAACAGCAATTTGAGAGGATTTTGTGACTTTTTTCAGTCAAAGGTCTCTTTTCACTTGGAAATTCCGTTTGGAGGTCATCTAGTAGTGTTTTAGAATAGACTGCCAAAGGGAACTGTTGAAGTCTGCTCTTCAAGCCTTTGTCCGTGTGCATTTCACTTCTGGTATGCACAAATCCTGTATTCATGACTATAAACTCTTGGGCAACAATAACTTGAGGCTGTGCTTGGCTTCTTGAGCTGATGGGCTCCACTTGTGTAGGACAAACTTTATCTGAAAACTTTCAGGCTGCCCTAATTTGATTGAAACATGGAACAGTAATAGCTGAGGCTAGAAGGGACACCATCAGATTACCTAGCACCAGCTGCACCTTGCTTAAGCCTGGCACAAGCACAGAAGGTTGCTCAGTGCCTTGTCCAGTTGGAATTTGAGGATCCTCAGGGCAAAAGACTCCTCACCCCCTTTGGGAAACATGCTTCAGTGTTTGGCTACAGTCACTGCAAAAAGGGTATTTTTTCTATGTGATTGGAATTTCCTGTCTTTCAGTTCACCCTATTGCCTCTTGTCCTCTGACTGGACAGCACTGAAAAGATGCTGGTTCTGCTGGTTCTTTTACTACCTTCCTTTTAGTATTTACACACACAGATAAAATCTCTCTGAGCCTTCCCTCCTCCCAGCTAAACAATTCCAGCTGCCTCAGCCTCTCCTTGTACGACACATGCTCTGCTTTGGGTCACCTTTCTCTCACAGAACTTGCTCCACTATGCGCGTGCCTCTCCAGTGCTGGGGAACCCAGAACTGGACACAGCACTCACTAGGTGAGATGATTTCCTACCCTCGACCTTTCCTGGTGCTCCTGAAAGCAAATCTTATCAGTCAAAACAAGGATAGTAATTTAGTTCTGCAGTATAGAGCATTCTGTTATATTTTGCTGTGGTACTTCTTGTATCTGTATAGAGGTTAGCAAATGAAAACAAGGAGGGCTGAGGCTGAGGCTTACCTCTGGAGCCACATGCATCTGAACAGCGTGTGTCTAAAACTCCTGTTCTCCTGGTGTATCGCATAGGGATAAGAAAAGCTCTTAGAAGTATTTCCTACAGAATCATATGTGATATTGGCAATGTAAATCTGGTCTAGGCAAAAAAAAAAAAAAAAAAAAGACAAAAATAGGATGATATTTTAACAATCATAAAAGAGCGAGATTTGTCTGTGTGAAAAGCCTGTTTTTTTAAACAAGCACAACTTGTATAACTAGTAACTGGAGATAATGCAAGAATGAAAGCAACCTTCTAGAATCAAATTTTGAAGTTTCTGATCAAATTCCTGTTATTGTATTGTTAAGGAAGTGGCCTCATTTGTGAGCTGGGATGATCCTAGAGGAGCTTCCTGTTTAAAGCAGCAGTGCACCCCCAGAACCATCCATCATACGATTCATAGCATTCACCCAACTGGAGCACGGCAGGAACAGTGCTCCATTCAGCTTCAGGAGTCCCCTGTAGCATTATGAACTGCAGGATCTCAGAGTCAGTATTTCTCCACTGTGTCACAGTAGTTCTGTAATAGAAATGGGTGTAGTCAGGAAGAGAGGAAGCACCTTCACTGTGCCTGGGAATCAGGCCAGTGCTCTCACGTCCTCTCTGATGGTAGCTAAGTAGTTCATAAAAAGTGCAAAAAATCTGAAAAGCAAACTACCTGGCATGCACACACGTTTCTTCCACAGAACAGCTAGCAATAGTTTAAGAACTAGAAGTCCAGAGCATAAAGATTTATATTCCTTGTAATTATAAATTGTGTCTACAGTCACTGATGCTTCCGTACCTTTAGCATGGCTTTATGTTCTGGTGATTAGTTTCACAAAGTAGTGATGTGCTTTTAAATTTTTTGGCTACTCTACCTTTTTTTTCTTGTGGAATTTCATTATAATATGGTACTTCCAAATGGAAACTGAGAACAGTTAAGCTCTTCATTGTTTTCTCAATGCTGTAATTGTATTTAAATAAGAGGAGGCGACAGAGCCAGTGTTGCTATGAAATCTTTAGTGCTCACTACTCCTTATTAAAAGCAAACACAATCATAAGGCTAAATAAAAATGTCAAAATTAAGAAGAGGATGAAGTAAATCAAGAAGTAATGTGTCAGGCAGATTTGCTCACCACATGAAAGCTGTGTAGGCAAAATGTTACGAAATGATGTTATGATATTTTGATCTCTGTAAGAGCAGAGCAAGCCAGTGTTATGAACTGGTTTTGTTATATGCAGATATGTTGTATCTCACTCTTCAAACAGTGGTAGCTGCTACTAAAAAGGATGGAACATTTCATTTGGGCTACTTACATTTTCATGGCCCTGTTTCAAATATGCCCCACAAATATGATATATTGTAAAAACAGGTTAAATTTACTGTCAATACAAATATTGGTTCTTGGAATCATGGAGAGAGAACATATATCTGAGTTTGTGCGTGACTTGAAGTTGCTCTCAGAAACTCTACTTGCTGCTGTGCCCAACTGTTACTCATTAAGGATTTGTGTGTGTTGTGGAGGGGACTACATTATTATAATGACCTCTCACGAATGGACACACGTTGGACAAGGCCCAAATGCTTGCAGAGGGCCTCTTATCAGATGGGACATCAAGATGTAATTAGCAAAGTCTCAGTGAAGTACTTTCATGCTCAGTGGCTGGCTGGTGCGAGGCTCCAGAATCACTTCTTCTCAGGTCTCTAACCTCAGCAAAATTCCCCTGTCCTGCTGCTCTGAAAAATGAAGGCTTCCTCGTAGGACATATGGCAACAATTTCTTGATGACTGAAGCCAGACAAAGGAAGAGAAGAGCAGGTGGGTCCTGGAACAAATGCAGAAACATTTGGGCTCTGACTCAGTGACAAGTTTAATTGCACTGGGCTGTTCCAGGCGGCGGCATCCCCCGTACCACCTTTCCATTCATCAGCTGACAGCCCTGTTTCTGTGCACACCACCGGTTCTGTCCACTGTGCAGTCTGCTGGCAATGAGGAAGTACCTCAAGCTATGCTGGCTCCAGTGTCACAGTCAGAAGCAGTAAGGGAGGAACTTTCAGAGCAAGAGCTTCAAAGCTGTGTGTAGAGGAGATAGTGGTAATGCTAATTGAAGCAGGCATTATGTGTTACAGGAATAAACCTATCCTGTTAGCAGGTGCAACTTTTATACAGAGTGTAAAAGGAATGGCAAGCAATGAGACGAGTAACACGAATGGACCCTGAAGGTCTGATAACAAAAATCTTCCAAAAGAGAGAAATTCAAACTCAGGTGAACACACAAGGACCACCTTCAGAAACCCCTCAAGGAGAAGTTCCTACTTCTAACCAAATGGAATTAAAATCAGGACTGAACATGCACGCTGTTCAGCACAGAAGGAACCATCCTGATCTGAGTGGCAATGACCACATGTCTTAGAAAACTATCTGGGGCAATCTGGTTCAAAGGGACAGAAAAAGAAAATTCCAAAAAGTAAATCTGCCTTATCTGTGAGCATGAAGCAACTGAAAGGAAAACTTATTTGGTAAGCATCACTTCAAACTGCTTTTTTATTACGTACTTTACATCCCCTCCTATACTAATATATTCTCTTAGAATAAACTTATCTTATTCACCAACCTTATCTTGGAATTAAAAGTAAATCTTAAGCAACTCTGGCAAGAATAAGGTGTGCTATTCTTTCAGAAACAATGCAAACAGAGAAGAGATTTAGTCCTATCTTATTGCACTCACCTAGGGCAAGTGGGAGGGATCCTGGGAACTGAACTCTCTGTGTAGTAAGGATCAGTTTGAGAACCTGTAACATCAGATATCAGGAAAAGTTAGGTTTCCCCTTTCAACTAGGAGACAGCCCAGGAACCTTAGAATCTTATTAAAAGCAGTTATTTCCATGGTGCTGTTGCAATTTAACAGGAAACTAAATGATTTATCAATGATACATTTATCCATAAGCATTTAATATGACTTTTTAAAAATAGGGCAGTAAAATAGGTAACCTTGTCAGCTCCTGAGGACTGTTTCATAGACTGACAGGTAGATTCTCTTTCCATCTACCTCATGTTCACAGTCTTATACACGCCTAATTAAGCTCTAAACAACAATTTATGAACTCATAATTTAGCTTTGCAGTTCATTGCTTTTACTGCAGTTTTGAAAAAGAGCCTCTAATACCCACACTTTTTGATCATCAGTGACAGTACCCCACTTGCACTGAAGTTATTGCAAGCTAAAAACACTGCACTGTCAGTTTGCATTTTTTCCCATAAATTATTTCATGAATAGAACTTGCTTTGCAAAGGTGTTTCATTTATTAGAGCAATGTCTTGCTGCTCAAGTCAGTTGTTTTGTCCTTGTCATGCAAGCATGAGCTCCTTTAGTCAGGAAATTACCATTTCTAAGATCTGCACCTGAGAGCTGCTACTTACTGCTGAAAAGTCTAGTGAGCTTTCCCACATCCCTCTGTACAAACCCTGCTTGAATTTGCTGACAGGTCATAACTGAAAAGCAGCATGGGCTGAGCAGGAGTTCCCAGGTGACACTGATGCATTTCCCCATCGCAGAACTTACAAAACGTAAGTACTTAGATGGGAGAAGGTTGGCCCAAATGCTTGTTTGTTTGTTTTCGATAGTTGTTGCCTTATAAGTGGAGAGGCTTCTTTGCTCTGTAGGAATGAAACACAAGAAATCCAGAATCTAAAACCAAAATGTCCTAAAAGAGCTAAAGGGAGATTTTAGCAACTGAGTGTAGAAAAGTATTTATCTTTTTTCCCTAATAACTAAAGAGAAAAACAAAACTGACATGACCTAGCAGTGAGCAGTGCCATCATTAAAGAATTCCTACCGACATGAACAGGAATCACACGGGGCACTGAATTACCAATATAGCAGAACTGACTAATTAGAGATTACGTTAGACTAGTAAACAGTGGATGCATGTGAAACTTATTGTGTTTGGATATTTGAAAGACTTCAAGGGATGGCAAAAGGCTGCTTTGCAGGAATGGTGAGACCTAGCTACAAATGGCAAAATTCAATAGCAGAATTTTTGGTTTGGTTGATTGGCATTAGCTTCCGCAGAAACATTTTTTTCTCTTTAGAATGAAGTCTCAGATATTTTAGCCTAATCACAGCCAGAGAGGTAAAGCTAAAATAAGACTTTACTCTGGAAAAGGGATAATCTCCCTAGAGCTAATACTGAAACTTGTTTTCTTATTCATCTGTTGTGCTAAAAGGAGTTCTAAGGATTGTTCCTGTGTTTTCAGAACTATCTTACGGAGCAGAGAGAGAGGAATAAAAACTGCACCCTGTGAGGTGCATCTGATAACATTGTCCCACTGCCTCTGCCTATCCTCTCCACAGATGTTCTCTTTTGGTTCTTCATTGTTTAATGTCACGTGGTTAGGCTGGTACTGTAAACAACCCAATATCTTACATGGTCATTTGGCTAAACAACACTTACAGGAAATGTCTGCTACATTGAGGCTACGGCATTCTGACAGACCGAGTGACCTCTCTGGGGCTGAGATGCCTTTGAGTTCGTCTTTATAAAACCGTGAGCACTTATGGAACCACAGAAACTTAATCACAGAACACCAGAAGTAGTTCATAGCACATCGAGTCACTGTCTGGGGATTACTTAACCAACACATCCCCTCCTGAGCTCTGACTGACAGCTGTTGGTGGAATTTCCTCATGAAGTAGTGGGGGCGCTACAGGAAAGCTGGAGAGGAACTTTTTAGATGGGCGTGTGGTGGCAGGATAAGGGGAAATGGTTTTAAACTGGAAGATGGTAGATTTAGAGAGATATTAGGAATAAATTCATTGCTGTGAGGGGGCTGAGACAGTGGATCAGGTTGTCAGTGAGGTTGTGGTGTCCCCTCCCTGGAAGCATTCAAGGCCAGGCTGGATGAGGCTGTGAGCACCCTGGTCTGGTGGGAGGAGTCCCTGCCTGTAGCAGGGGGTTGGAACTGGATGATCCTAAAGGTCCCTTCCAACCCAAACCATGCTGTGATTCTAAGTACTGCTTCTTGCTCGTTATATGCAAGTATTTCCAACAGCATGAAAGTAAGTAATATTTATTGAAAACTGTTCCACTTACATGACCAACAACTCTTACAGGTTCCCTACTCTGGCTATGCTAGCTTCTTCGTATCACTTTCCAACCTGCTTTTTCACGGCATCAGGTGAAGGATTTCTGCATACAACTTTCAGGGCTGTCAGTGTGTCAGTGCAAAGCGGAGTGCTGCTGTTCACCAGCCGATGTCTCACTGTCCAACAGACAACACAGAGACAACAGTCTTTTCACAGAGGGAGGAAATTCTTAACAATGCTAAAAATGTGTAATGAAATCTCTTAAAAAAAAAAAAAAAGGCACCAGAAGACCAAGTTTTATCGTAATGCCTGTGAAAGCCCTCAGCACACAATTTATAGCTGATACCAAAGGTACACTACAGCATAAACTGCTTATTTTCCTATTAATTTCTTCCCAGCCGACATTTGCGTGCCTCACTTTTAATTGAAAACCTGGATTTTAAGCTGTGTAGGGCAGGAGCCTTTTTGTTCATGTAACTCATCTGCCCTGTCACTACAAAGGGACCATTATTTTAAAACACATTTCTTTGTCATGGTCTAATGCACGCTTTCCTAAATAACTGCACAAGAACACCTTCTCCAAACATTGCATCTTTTTCCAATGGAAGCTTTGGACAGATGCAATCATGTAACTTAATGCCTTAGCTGACAACTATTTGTAATGATAATGGAGTTTACTGTATAAACAAATGTGTCCTTCAGGTTTGAACTCTGAAGATGCTAAAGTCATGCGAGGAAATGCATTTTTGTATTTTCTCAGCATATGCATACAAAAAAGACTGAAAATCATTGTAAAAGCAAGGACTGTGTTTTAAAACCAGCTGATTTCTTATGCCATGACAGTATGAGCTTATTTTCAGACAATTTGTTAATTGAACCCAGGAGCTTCATTCAGCAGGTCGATTACTTGGTGCATGTATTTCATGAAACTCTCAGTAACACCACCTCCCTGGGTTTATTTAGAATCATTCCTCGTGACCAGACTGTGCCTCAGAACTAGCTATGGGCAGTCTCTAAAGCAGTCCTTGTGCAGTTTCAGGTGAGAATTTAGATTAAGACTTCCAAATATTTGTGTAGGGATGTGTCTACTATTGAATCAGAGAAATAAGCTTAGCCTTTCTATACACGTATGTATTGCCTATTGCAGATGGAGCCCAGTGGCACTGCACTCCTGTGAACTTACTTACATGTATGTAGATACGTTTGGGGGGTTCACATTTACAGGACTGATTCAGAATTAATTGGGAAAAGGTGTGGGTGGTTGTTTTTTTTTTTTTTTTTTTTTTTTTTTTTTTCCTTTCTGAAGGCAGCTCTTTGCTTTACTTACAAAAACATCATGCCATTGCTTCTGAAGCTGCGGATGCAACCACACTTGTAATTGCTTGTCACACAGTGAAGAAAACTAATTTAAACCGCTTATTTGTAGCTATTAACCAGTCTCTTTAACTGCAGACAAAAGACCAGCTACAAGCTAAAAGGAGAGACCTGGTGTTCAACTCATAAGAAAAGCACCGGATATTTTCAGATAATTATACCTCCATTTTCCTGCTACAACCAATTAGAATTAATTGTGAACTTAAATGGGTATGCAAATCACTCACCTAGCTGTTCTTCCAGCTAGGAAGACAAACATTTCATTTTCATTTTTTGTGTACTTAAAACCAAGGTGAAAGTTTTGTGCTTGCGGGAAGCACAGTGATTTATGTGATATGCAGGCAAAATACGTACATTTAGCAGGATTATAGGCAAGATACCCAATCCATATATTTTAAATGTTTAATAAACTTCAGGGAATAACCTGCAGCTTTCTGCCAAGAGATCCAGAATTCCTGAGCAGTTACAGATTCAGAGCACTATGTTCCATTGGAGGCTCCTCTGTCTTTTAGAAAAATCAATGCAAAAACTTAGTTCATAAGAAGAAGAACACTGACACAATGGAGGACTCTAATATGAAAGCAGCAGGGCAGGTTACTAAAGCAGAACCACTCAGTACTAATCCTGATGCACGAGCTAACCGGCAGCTTGCTGCACATCCTCACATCAAGTCACTGAAGACTTTGCTTCGTTTCGTGTTGCAGGGCTCACTGGGCAGAAAGAGCTGTGCCACACATCGGTTTGTTGCTGTTGGCACCAAGTCACTTCTTGCTTTCTTTGGGGAAACCACTGCAAGCCTGAGCCTACTGGAAAGGCTTACAACTTATGGCTGTACTGCTTCAGGTTTGTGTATGTAAGCAACAGACCCTCAATAAAGGAAAAATTGTGGCTTGCAGCCATGGTAGATGGACCTCCCTGAAGTCAGAAGTTGGAAGAGGTGTTTTGTTGTTTTTTTTGCCGAGTTGTCGAGAACTCTTTATGATGGGGATGGAGCACCTCTCCCACCAGAAAAGGCTGAGGGAGCTGGGACCGCCCAGCCTGCAGAACAGGAGGCTCGGGGGCATCTCCACGTCCAGAGACACCTGAAGGGAGGGCAAGGGAGCAGAGCCAGACTCCGTCCGTGGCGCCCAGAACAAGAGGCGCTGGGCACAAACCGGAGCACAGGAGGCTCTGTGTGGGCACCGGGAGCACTCCTGTGCAGTGTGGTGACGGAGCACAGGCAGCCGGAGGCGCGGGCTCTCCTCCTCGGATACCCAGAAGCCCCCAGACGCGGCGCACGACGCCGCGTGTCCGCGCTGCAGCTGGGCTGGGCACGGCGCACGCGGAGGGCCTTCCCAGCTTCGGCCGCGCGTGGCCCGTGACGCGGGCCGACCCCGGCCCTCGCTCGGCAGAGCCGCATTCCGGAGGGCCGCTGCCCCGCCCGCAGCCCCGCGGCTGCCGCCGGCCCCCGGGAGGAAGATGCCGTTTCCTCTCAGGTGTTCCCGTCTATTTATGAGCGCCCTCTCCGCGCCCCTCCCGCATCCTTTTCCCCTCGCGGCCGCGGGGCGAGACTCCAGGCCGGGCGCGCTACCTGAGCGCGGCCACGGACCCACCTCGGCGACGGGCGGCCCGGACGAGGCCGACCCGTCCCCGCGCCGCCCCGCACCGGCGCCGCCCCTCCGAGCTCCATCTTCCCCCTCCCGCACCCCGCGCCGGCCCGGCGAGGGGCGGGGATTGGGCGAGCCCTCCCGTCACTCCGCGCTCGCGCCGCGCTCCCATTGGCCGCTGGCGCCGTCAGTCGGCGGCAGGGTCGCGCCGGCCCCTTGTTGTCACGGCGCCGTGCGGGGCTGGGGCTCTTCGCGCCGCCGTTGTTGCCGCCGCCGCCACCGCCTCGGGCGCCCGGCAAGGAGCGATTCCTCCGGCTCCGCCGCCCGCTCTCCCGGCGCGGGTGAGACGCCATGGCCACCAGCACCACGGGCTCCACGCTGCTGCAGCCCCTCAGCAACGCCGTGCGCCTGCCCGTCGACCAGGTGAGGCTGCCGTGACGCCGCCCGTCCCGCCGGGGGCACGCGAAGCGCGGGGCCGCCTCGTTCCCCCGGCGCCGCGGGACCGCCCGCCTCGCGCTGAGAGCAGGTGCGGCCCGCCGCCGTCCTCGCCCCGCCGGGTGCGCGCTGAGGCCGCGGCCGAATCGCGGGCATCGCCCCCGGGGCCGCTCCGCCGCCTGCGGCCGAGCTTGGGGTCCCGCAGCGGGGATGCGCGGCGGCGCCGGCCCCGAGCTGTGTGCGCGGTGTCGGCGGCCGGGCGGTGCCGAACGGGACGGGACAGCTTGGCGAGTGGCCGTCGGGGGAGCGGGGTCGGCCTCCTCCGTCCGCGGGATGTTTGTGTGCCTGTAGGTGTGTCGGTAACTTCCGAGTGAGTTCTGTGCATCTTATGGCAGCGGGAGTGCTTAAAGGAAGAAAATGCTTCTGTTAGTGCGTGAATGAATGCAACGGGATGAGAGAAGCAGTCTGCCGTCCCGTGAAGGGATGCTGGTGCCTGGGCTTCACGGCGCACACCTCGCGGGTAGGAAAGTGATTTGAAATGAAACCCAGAGGAAGGAGCGCGTCCATCGACTTCTGAGCTACCTGCTCTTCTCTGTTTCTCTTTCTTCCGTGTGTCTGAGATGTAGGTGAGGTAACCACAGGTGCATGGAAATACCTTCCAAAAAGCTGCTGGAAGCGGGCAGGTTTCAGTGGAGCTGGCTGTGATGGGGTGGATGCTGAGCGCTGCTGGCACTGCCTCCTGTGGGTATGGCTCTGTGGCTCCGTGCTGTGTGCTGCTGCCATGGCTTCACTGGGAAATAGGGGGTGGAGTAAGAGGTGATTACCTTTTTATGGCGTGTTACCGCTGTCCTCTTATCAGCTTATCAGCTACTTGTAACTGAAGTCTTAAACTTAGTGTTTTAGTTTTAATTCAAGAGCTTTTGATATGGCATTCTGGTGGTAATGAGGTTACTTCTTATCAAAGCCTGGAGATCTTACCTGTTTTGAGTATGTTGCAACAGATGCTCCTGTAAGGGTGTTTTTGCAAATAACTCTGCTTGAGCTCTGTGAGTTCTTGGGGGTTATTACAATGGTGGGTGGCTAAACATAGGGTTTAGAATATTACTTTTATGAAAAGCATTAACAAATGTGTATATGTGTTTTTTCTATATCAGTGGGCTGCAGTATCAGCCCTGCTGGGTAGGGAGAGCTTTGACTAATGGGGTCATGAAGAGTTACGTGGGGCATGAAGAGTTACAAAATTATTTTGCACTAAGAACGTGCCTTTAACTGATTCAAAAAAGAGCAACAAAAAGCAACGCTGTGGGTTAGGGCTTTGTAGACTGTCAGTTGGAGAGCCTGTCTCAATAGTAACTGTGTAACACAGAACAGGGAATGTGTTCTGTGTCAGGGAGGCAAAGGTGGTGGCGAGCGTGAGGGCAGAAAAAGGAAATGCACCCAGAGGTTGTGTGTGGCACTCAGTGACACTATATGTGCACTGGGTATGGAAACAGAGCTGTGCTTGGGGAAAAGGAATGAATGAAGAGCTCCTGATCAGTGCATTGTTTCTGCCATCTAACTCAAAGTCCTGCTGTGATGGGTCCTGCCATGAAGCAGGCACTCAGAATGATATGCTGTGCCAGTGGTTAGAACCAGTGGATAAACAAGATTAAGCTTTATTTATCTACTTCTCTATTTTGGTTTTTACCACAAGTAGATGCTAATATTTTTATCTAAACTATTGTGGTTTACAATTAAGCAATTACTCTCTGTAACGATCCTGCTCTACGATCTTACTGGAGGCGAAGGTGTGTAACTGGGAGGCTGAGTCCAGGCAGCGTGTGGCTGTGCTGCTCTGCTGGCTGGGTGGGCAAACAGATGAAAGAAACTTGCCTGGTGGCACAGAATGTAAGTAGAAATTTCAATTACAGGTGAAGCTGATATCTCTAATTTTGACCTGATTTGTTGGATAATTGGATGAAAATTTATGTGTGGTTTGAGTGCAAGAAAGCAGATGGACTGCTTCTGGTAGAATGAGAGGCACAGATCTGTTTGAAACAGTGTGTTACAGAATCGTAGGGGTTGGCAGGGGCCTCTGGAGATGACCCAGTGCAGCCCCCAGCGTGCTAGCTGGTACCAGCCTGGAACATGGAGGATGGCAGCTCTGCCAGAGCCACTGGCCATGCTTGTGAGGCCATAGAATATCCCAAATGGGAAGGATCAGTGTGTCCATCTCCTGGCACCACACAGGGCTATCCAAAAATCAGACTGTATGTCTGAGAGCACTGGGGCTGTGCACGCTGCTCTGGGGAGCCTGTTCAGTGCTTGACCATCCCTGGTGAGGAACCTTTTCCTGATATCCAACCTGAACCTCCTTCTCTGGGTTGCACGAGGAGAGCTCTGCTTCTTTAATGATTTGCTCTTCATGAGCTTTCCTCTTGGTAGTGAACCACCAGTTGGCTACTGGGAAGGAAGCTTGTTGTTCCTCTTCTGTAACTACCCTGCACAAGGTGTTATGCGATCATTGGCCGCTGTGTTAACTCGTCCTTTGGCTCTTCCCTGCTCTTGTACGAAGTGAAGTGAAATGCTTGCTTTGAAAACCGAATGTGTTTTGTGATGGGCTGCTGCTTCTGCCTTCATTCAATCCCTTTGTTGCTTTCGGTCTTAAGATGCTGGGGAAGATGGCTGGTGTGATCAGCAACCTGAGTCTGTCTCTGTAGATTTGGAAAGTCCAACATGCAGACCTCTTTTTGTATATAGTTATAGGAAAAATAAATGCACTCCGTGGGGTAAAAACCTCTATCTTCTCACTTCTTGGAGCAGCCAGGTTTCCTGCTCAGCAGGGGAAGCATCCTGTTGACAGCTCTGTGTCTTGGGTCCCTAAAGTTAATGAAGAGTGAATGCATGTAATTGCCCACGATTCTCCCTCTGTCTTGTTTGACAAGAGAGGGAATAGGAGAAGTTATGTCATTCCCTCCCCTTGCAGCTGGAGAAGTGCAACAATAATTACCAGGAAGGCTTGGCTGCTGAAGGTTTTGTTGCATAATGCATCGAGGTTGCAGCTCTCAGTGTTGTGTTACAGCCTTGTCTCTCACCTAGGCTTCTAGTTTTCCCATCTATGCTCCTGTCATGCTGGTGTCCCTGCTGCTTGCTTCTTCCTGCAAGGGGAAGCCTTGGCAGGCAGCGTGCTGGGCTGCAGTCCATTTCTAGCTTGGTCTTGCTGATGACAATCCCTTGTCTCTTGGTGTGCCAGCTCACCTATCTTTATATCTGAGAGATCTAAGTCAGTTGTGAGCTGAGGGTGGTCCTAGGAGAGCAAAGCTTGGCTCAGAGTCTTTGCTCTTTCACTGCTTCCACCAGAGGGAGCAAAATTTGAATCAGAAAATCGGCAAAAATTAGTTGAAATATTCCCGCAGTTGATTTGCCATAGAAACAGACAGCAGTTACAGGGGAGTCGCTGGGCAGCAGGAATGGGAGCTGGGTGATGCCGGTATGTGAGCATCAGCTGTTGGCACTTGTCTGAGAGATTGATGTGGAGATTGTGGGGCATGGGCTGGAGAACTGGATCTGCTAGCTGCAGCCATCACCTTCCAGATAAGATCAGCAGAGCTGCAGTGTTTTTTAGCAGACGTCACCAAATTTCCTCACTACTTATTTCTACTCATCTCTTGTTGTTTTTTTTTTTTTCTGTTCCCCTGACAGTAATTTTAGCTTTTATTTGAGTAATGTGCTCATTTATGTAGACCAGATAGCATTTTCTTCAGGAGTCCCAGAATTGAAATTGACCTTTTTAAAGAATAGCCATAAAGATCTCAATGAACCTTATAAACTTCATACCTTAGTGACTGTGAGCAAGGCTGCTACACCTCTGCATTGCTTGCAGCACACGTGTCCTGGTGCAAAGTACCTGAGCTACTTCAGCATGCCTTGAATGCAGCCAGCTCTGCAAAAAGCAGTGAACATTGATGTATGTTGAGCCTCATATTTCTCCTGGTTGCCTTCAAGAAGGGTAGGCAGGATTATTTTTCCCTTGGGTGTTCCTATGAATTGTGCATTTCTTAAATGCATGTAACTGGAAAAATGCAACTGTGATGTTTTGCAGCATTTCAGTACCTAAAGGGAGCCTACAAACAGAAGGGGAATCAATTCTTGAAAGGGTAGATAAGAGCAGGACAAGGGAAAATGGTTTTAAGTTGAGGGAGGGAAGATTTAGGTTGGATGTCAGGGGTAAGTTTTTCACTATGAGAGTAGTGAGGTACTGGAACAGGCTGCCCAGAGAGGTTGTGGATGCCCCATCTCTGGAGGTGTTCAAGGCCAGATTGGATGGGGCCCTGGGCAGCCTGGTCTGGTATTAAATGTGGAGATTGGGGGGTTGGAGATTCATGATCCCTGTGATCCCGTGATTTTGACTTTGGATGCTTTGGAGATGAGCTCCTGCTGGAGTTTGGGTAGAAGACCAGGCATGGAAGTTATTTTGCTTAGCAGCCTGGTTGCCTGCAGGAAGCATCTGGACACATCTCATAGCTCTATGGTATTCTGGGAAGTTTTGGGCATTAGCAGTGCTGTAGTCTGCCTTGTTTTCTGCCCAGGCAACCTGACACAGCCTCCTGAGGACTGAAATGCTTGAATCTAATGAAAGCCTTTTTGTTTAAATATAGAGGAGAAATTAAAATGTTTGTGTAAATGTCCAGAACATAGATGCCTAGTCTTGTCTTAGAATTATTTGACTATATATATTCAAGGGAGGTTCTAGTTGGATCTTAGGAAATATTTCTTCTCCAAAATAGTGGTCAGTCAGTGGCACAGGCTGCCCAGGGAGGTGGTGGAGTCACCGTCCATGGAGACGTTCATGAACCATGGAGATGTGGCACTGAGGGATGTGGTCAGTGGGCACGGTGGGGATGGGTTGGGGTTGAGCTAGATGATCTTAGTGGTCTTTTCCAACCTTATTGAGTCTATGATTAAAAAATGGAAAGTGGTAAAGAGCATCCAAGCTTTTTTCTGTTAGT